AACTCTAAGCGGTCACGCTTTTCTCTGGTTGAACCAAAAGGCGCTGCGTCGTAGCCATGTGATTCATGGGCTCCACAAAGGTGTGGGACATACTATACAATCCCATGTACAAATCCTAACATGCAGAGTGTGGCCTGCCTCAAAGATCTCCCCTTGGGGCCGTATGGTTATGAGGCCGCCTGTGGGGATATCATACATGACACCTTCGACGACTTCTTCTGCAGCCAATCTGAGGCCAACGGGATCGGCAGGACCCAGCCCAACCTGCAGAAGGATAGAAGCTCCATTGAGCCTGCCTTTGAAATGAAATGCGAACAGCCGGCCATCGACCCTTCTAGAGCAAGACAAATTCCTGGAGCGGCCCACACAGGAGTTGCGAGCAAGCAGGCAAAAGACCGGTCTGGCTGCAAAGCAACGGGAACAAGACAGTCGAAGCTCAGACTGGCGTCTGAGGTGCGGGCATCTGCTACCTCTTGCAGGGCTTCGTCAACGGAGCATCCAACAGGCAGCGCCAAACGGTATAGTTCGTGACAATACCTGGGTGCAAAGACCAAGAACGTATCATCCTCATGTGCGAGATGAAGGGCCTCATGAGCAGTGGGCGGGTCAAAAGGCTGGCCGAAGCGCTGAGGACCATGAGCACGCGCGGTGCTCTGCATGGGACCCTCGGAGAGGGCACCAGTGCCGCTTGCAGAAATAGCTGGCCGAAGTGTGGAGAGTGAAACGGCCCCAGGCAACGCTTCATCAACCGCAGGCAGAAGATCAGAAAAGATCGCATGCGCAAGCTCGACGGTTTCGCCGGTGCGCAAAACCTGAACAGGACCGCACAGTCTGCTGGACAGAAGATCCCCACGTCTGCCTGCTGGAAAGTCTATGTTGGCCGCAAGAAAAATGTCCCGCAAATCCTGGAAACTACATGATGCAGTTACAAGTCAGTTTGTGGGCAAGGCTCACCTTTGAGTGGAAACGCCAAGCCAATTTCCACGGAACTCGGCCTGGAGATCATGAGTTGCAGGTAGATCAACAGCGGTCCCCTCCCCAGGATCAACTATCCCTGAGCCATCGCTGAGGTTCGGTGTGGCTAGGTCCTCTGGTGCGCCAGTATTGGACCTACATTGGCCAAGCTGTTGGGCAACCTGATGCAAAACCTTGATGGATGCAGGTGCGGCCCAAACACGACAAGTGGGCATAGAAGCGACGCCAAGCCAAAGAAGGATACGAGCCCACCAGCCACAGGCAACAGCAGTACGGCTCTTCAGGTGTGGCCGTCGTTTCCGGGCAGGCTGTTGCCACGTAAGCACAGGCCGTGTCGGTGTGGCAACTCCAACAGCAAGCAGACATCCGGTAGGCACAAAATGCAACGAAACAGCCACCAGCTTGCCGAGGAACGTGGCTCTTCCTGGGACGGGCCGTAGGAGAACCTTGATCAGCACTGCAAAGCAGAGGCTCCGAAAAAACGCCTCCCAGAGCCCACCTAGCCTGTGTAAAGATAGCCCATGCCATGAAAGGAAAAGGGCACTCAAAAATGAGCCAGGGAATCGCACAAGGACGAACATCCGACTCCACCTGGCAGCTAGTGCTTGCTTGTCACTCCAGGTGTGCAGACCCTCGTCCGCGGATGTGACCTGAAACAGCTGGCTGTGTATCCCCGCCCATGCCAGAGCCACCGTGTGTTTGGCGCGGGAAATACACAGAAGCCCTGGAGCGCTGCAGAAAGACATTGCTCGGGGCATATGAAGGCGGCCTGCAGCCATAAAGAAAGGCGCGTTGGGCCGCCCGGGGGTGCACAAAGTGCCAACATGAAGCAGAATGGTCCAGGAAGACGGCACCTTGGTAGACAGTGGGAACCCTTAGTCGTAATGGCCGGGCTCGGACAAAATCACCGGCTGAAAGAAAGATAGGCAAGGGCGGATGACCGCGGTTGCCAGAATCAAAGGGAGGCTGAACGTGGCGAGGACAGGTGTCTGCCCAANNGGTGGAGACCGCGACAAGGGTGGACCACAGGGGTCACAGGAATGCGGCGGCAGTGTGCAACGGCCTAACTGACTATGTGTGTGAAACCGTAGGCGCCTGGTCCGTGTCGTCGTCGTCTTCCAGATGAACAAAGCCTGACACTGGCACTGGTCCTGCAGCAAAGATCGAAGAGGGCGCGCCAGACACATCCGCTGCTTCGGAGGGAACAACACCCCCGAATTGAGGACCAACACCGGTCGACGGGTCCAGGGGCACAGTGGCTGTGCTCGCAAAACCAGGAGTAGCACCAGCTTCTGGAGCAAAAGGCATTGTAGCGACACGATAGACGCCGTAGCGCGCGCGCTGTCCACTGCTGTCAGCATAGTAGCCATCGCCCTCTTGGCCAGAACTTTCTGCTCTAAGGTAGCACCAGGGTGGCGGGGGGGTCCTTGTCTTGACCGGCTGACGAGCTTGGCCTGGACTTGGCCGTGTCTTGGTGCACAGGAGACGGAGCCAGATTGGGCGCCGCTGGTAGAGGAGACCCGACAAAGGGCCCCAAGAAGCATCTGGCGCGGTCAGACCAGCGCTCATTCGTACCACCAGGGCAGCCTCCAGCAGGCGCCAGGCCAGGGGGGGCCGCAAATGTTGAGACATTCATAACATTGGGGGCAGCCGGCAAGCCTGTCGGAAACACTGCCGCTGGCGCACCGGAAGCACCCACCTGCGACGTGTATGCTGCAGACATGGCAGCAAACTGCATAGCCTGTGAAGAAAGCCGTCGCCCAATGAGGCCGTCTCCACCTCTTGCATCATTCTGTCCCAATACGGATCGGACATCGTGACAGCATCGCTTTCGGTAGGGGGCGCTGTCTGCATGAGCACAATGTTCTTGACCATAGCTGCAGCTTGTGCGTTGTTCTCGGGCATGCACGCCCTCTTCCTTCAATCGGGCCATGTCCGCCTCGTGCTGCTTTTTGCGCTTCGATCAAGAACTGCATCTGTGTATCCTTCATGTATTGTTGCCAGAGCTCGGCCCTCTTGGTCTCCTCCTCTGCGATCTTTCTGATACGCTGGTCGGCTTTCTTCGCCTTGGTCAACGCCTGTTGCACCGCACGCAACTTGGCTGAATTTTCTGTGTCCGCCGTCTGCTTCTCGGAAGGACGCTCCGCTGGATGCGGCCAGTCCTCCGCACTGTAGGCATCGTAGTGCGAATCGGCCGGACGTCGGCCCCTGGGTGACCAGCTCCCGCGCCAGAGCTGCCAAGCAGCAGGCTGATATTGCGTATACTGGTAGGAGGAATAGCCACCACCTCCTCGCCATGGCTGTTGTCGCTTTCCCATAAAAGCGACTTCACGGTATAAGGGCGCCGAATGGTGGGAAGAAAGGTGCAGGAGATCACGGCGCCGTGGAAGAAGGCCACGGGCTCTATGCAGGTGCACCCGCCGACGCAGCTTGCTCCTGACGCGTCGGGCTCGACGGTGCCAGCTCGGGCTTGGCACTCCCTTTGTCGTGGCACAACTACCACTGGGGTCGCGATACACTACGGTTTGATCCGAGACCCTGTCCCAGCGCCGGGTGTTGAAACCCACAAAGCATCCCAAAGTCCCCTACACTCCAAAGCCCTCCTTCATGGCTGGGTTGAGGGTTTGGGGATTGCTTTTTCGGGTTGACCCTAGGCAACTAAGCGAGGCCCTACCAGGCCCTACCATAGAGGCAACTGGAAGTAGAAAGTTAAGCATTTGTTTATCCCA